CCACCTCATTTGAATTAGTACTTCTTTCATCTTATTTAACTATTTGAGTATCTGTCTACTAAGCTACAGAATGGACTGTTCCTTTTATACTTTGGAAGTATGTAGATAACCAATTGTTGAAAATTTTTTAAGCAATATGTAGTTTGAGTTCCTGCCTTGGATCCAAATTAATCTGTAGATGACTATTTCAAAGGGCAGGGTCTTCCTGCAGAGAAGTAATGTAGTTATTTATACATCCTGCAGCCCTTTACAATAGTATTCTTTTCTAATTACCAAATGGAGTAAAACTAAAATGAATACTTTAAAAAAAAATACCGCTAGCTGTAACTCTTGAATTTTTCTATGGTCAAGAATCTGGAGATAGCCATCCTGCTTAAAATTAAAATACTGCCATTATGATGGGAAAAGATTTAAAAGCTTGCTAGGTGAACTTTAAAATTTACTTCAATGTTTGTATCTTACAAATAATTATGTATTATTAAAGTGGGGAGATGTTCTAGGAAAAATAGCTGTAAATAGTGCTAGAACATTATTTGTATATTTAGTGTGTTACGTTACAAAAAGAATATAACCAGCACCTCAGTTTAATCTTTGGTGCATTTATTTATTTTCCCAACCTACGGAGGAGACAGAAGTGAACCTGAATTTTGGACCCTTGTTACCCACTGTAAAAATGCTTTAACTGACCCGATGGCCTGCCATTTAAAAACAAAAAATCAAACAAACATTAAAAAAAATCACAAAAGGTTGTTTCCTAAACAAGACTCAGCCGGGAACATCAAAGCTGAATGTTGCGGCACCCCTTTCCTAGCGTACTGTGCCTTACCTTTTCAGAAGGGCATGAGGTAAGTAGGGAGCATCACTCTGAGCTTTGCTGTTCCTGTCCTGTGCGAAGTTGCCTTATGTTGTTCTTTAGATTTCAGCCCTTAATTTAAGATGTTCGCTACCCTTCTGCAATCTGTTTTAAGTCAGACTGCAAATACGCAATTGATATTATTTAATTTGATTTTTTTTTAAACAGAGTTCATGAGAAGTGTCCATTTATAATGTATTCCTAGTGAATTCCTGTACATAATGAATTTGATCTGTACATTCTGCTGTTTTTATTTAGTGTTAGATGTATAAAGTTACGGTTATTTCTGTCATTAAATAAACTGAGCTTTGCCATGAGTTACTCCTTCAAGCAACTTTTCTTTATCGGGGAAAAAAAAGTGTTGCAGAATTATTTATTCCTCTTCAGTATTTCACCTTCCATATAGAGATAGATGTTTGATCTGAATAGTTCTAATAACACCTACTTGTTTGCTTCAGGCTCAAAAAATTAACTTGTATGAGGAAAGGAAACTGTCACTCTCCTGGCTGAAGGATGAGCTGTACAGCTGCCTCTTGCCCTAGAAGAAACATCAGCCTGTGCCTTTCCGTGTGCTGTCGGAGCAATTTCAAGGCAAAGTCACTGTTGCAGAAGGGCTGATTACCTCTTCTTCTTCATCCTGATTCCTAGGGGAAACGCTAGGAGGTTTTTAGGGTATTAACTCTTCTGTGAGCCCATATAGGTAAGTGGGAAGTATATAATTAAATAAAAACAGGGGTTTCAAAAGGCTGAGTGCTGAAGGAGTAACGTGACCCACCATTGAACAACTGCTGTTCAAGAGGGATGCAACTACAGATGAAAAACAGCAAAGTGCTGTGTGGATAATTTTCCTCCCCTTGGTTTCCACGGAGTCTAGAGCCATGTCACTCTTGGCTGTTAAAGGAAGAGCCGTGAATTTCTACAGCACTGGAATGGTGTGTATGTTTCATACCATAACACTTAGCAGCAGCTGTAGGATGGGCTCCTGACACGGTGGTGGGAACCTATTGCCTCTCAAGCAGTTCTTTACTGAGACCTGTTCTCATGCAGAGGAGTTCTGGCTACTGAAGGCAAGAGGCCCCACGTCCCTTTGTTGCCGCCCTCGGGCCCAGGGGAATATGCTTACAAGCCTAGTGTGACTTTGAAGGGACTTCTCAGAAAGTAACATTTTTGTCTTGTACCCCATGACAGTTTTGTCCTGCGGGCAGGATTTCTTGTGTTGGGTAAAGCGCGCTGCCTTACAGCTGGCAACATCACCACGAACTTACTCAGTGCTTTTAGATGAGTAGTAACCCAAACTCTTCATGTCGTGGCCTTAAATGTTACATGTGAACAGGACCGTGTTAAACCAGCGTCTGAGTAACACAAATATAGCACAGCCCAAGATGCTTCCTAGTTTCGCAACTGCTCTTTACACTACACTGCTGTATTTGGTGCCTGGAATTCTACATAGTGGAGGCTGGTGTACGTGTGAACATGAAAGGCTGCCACAGTTACACTTCTTTCACAAAAGCAAATGCAGAATTACTGTTTTATAACGAGCTACTGAGCATCAGCCAACGCTGTATATGCAACTACTATGTTTACAAATTATGGAAAGCTGGGGGAGAAAAGGAGAGAGAATTATCTTTTTATTATGACTTGCATTACCTTAAATTAATAAGCTCGTACTGTAAGGAAAACATAAACATAGGCTCATGACGTCAAGTTTCAGGGGAGCTCTTGCTACAGAACCACAAATGCTTTATTTGTGCATCCGTCTCACCAGGAAATCTGACCCCAAGAACCAAATTTAAGAACTAAGTCACAAGATAAGCAAAGATTTTTAAGATCTCACTATGTGCCACTGGATCAAAAAACACATACTCCAATTGCTCACTGTGACAGTCACTGCCACTCTTACCCTCTCTACCTCACCTAAAGGGTAGTGGCATATACATGTATCTATACTGCAAAAAGCGTACAATGCAGCGCTTAAAAGACTTGCTTTGGTAACTAAATCTTGTGTGGACTCCTGCCACTCCAGACTTTTAAATGGGCATTCATAAACAGAAATTTAACACGCTATATACAGAGTTTAAGTGTAACAGTTCACATTTCATGCTTTTAATTCTATGGATAACTACGCATCTGCCCCGAGGCAATGCCTCCGCATTATTAAACACAAGCAGCTTTCCTAAGTAAGAGCTATATAGTTTTTAAGATGCCGATATATCAAAATTAGAGAACAGTAGTATATCCATTTCTTAATAAAAGCAGAAGAAATAAGGAAGGTGTTAATCAGACAAAGTAAAAAGCAAATTGTTAATTGTCTGATTTTTATGGTGTTCTAGTGTCTCTTGGCAGAGGAACTAGAGGAGCTACTGTGACTTTAGAACATAACCCTCCCTTCTGTAGCTTAAGGGCAGAACTACTCAGCATTCCTCCGTTTATAATTTCATAACAAATTTAAAAAACCCCAACCTCTTTTTGCAGAACACTTCTTAAGGCTACTAACTACACAGATGAAAAGCCTTCTTGACATTCTGTTGCTTCTCCAAACAGATTTATCTTCTTATGTTATGGCAGCCTAGAAGGAGTTCTAGTTCCATCTGTGATTTCCAATAGTTTAAAACCTCAGTTTGCCTCTTCCAGAAGCAGAAGCACCCATTTTTGAAAAAGCTGCCTTTTTCTCCAAGTCTCCCTTCAGTGAAAACTTTGGTAAAGCCACCCCCAGCAGAAAAAACGCACCACGGTCACCTAAGTTCTGAGAAGGAGGTGTCTCCGCAGGTCTGACGGACACAGAGATCAAGCGCATCAGGCCTGAATGCAGCTGGGGCTGCTGCCATGGTGGTCATGTCAGGACATGATAGTTGGTTTTGTCAAAGTTGGCTGAATACTGCAGTTAGGTCATGTACAACACGGGAGTAAGCCCATGAGGGTGAAAGAGCGTCCATCAGTCACCTTACAGACAGGCTGGTTGGGGACTTCGTTCTCATGCTGGAACAGATTCTGAGAATCTGGACAGTGCACCTCCAACGCTTTTAAAGGAATGAAATTAGGTGTGAAAGGGGCTACACCAGCAATGCTTGAATTGCTTCTGCCAGCAACTGACCGCACTCTTTGCCGGTTTTGGTGGGGTTTTTTTGTTTTGTTTGTTTTTAATAATTTTAATGTAGTTAGCACGAGATGAGTTCAAATCCATTCACAACCCAGGAGGCTCAAGAGCAGCCTAGCTGCAGGGTGGCACGCAGAAGGTTACTGGGTAACTACTTACATCTTCACCATATGTCTTGAACGTTTTACAAGCTGCTCGGATGCCAAGTAAAGCTTTAGTGCTAAGCAAGCATAAGCCTTCGGAGATAGAACTGCACAAGTTACGTGGATAGACATTTCAAGCACTGACCGGTGTACACACCTTGCTATACTAAGCAGCTAAAGGTCTCAGCTAAATCAGGTAGTTTACCACGAGCTTTAGGATTCCTTAATATTCTTCGAAAAAGAACAAAAGAGCAACACGCACCCTCCCCGAGACTACCTTCATGCAATGACAGTGACTATTGTAAGGAAAGCCTAGAACAAGTGAAGTTCCAGCTAACACCTGCCTTCACAATACTTTTCAGGTCAGTTCTTTCCGAAAGTGTCAGACACTAAACACCAGCTGACACCCTTGCAGCTACAAGATCAACCTTGATGAGGCACTCCGTCCTGAGTGGATTTAGGCCATCCTGATCGATTTCCTTCTGTGAAGCACCGAGAAGGAACAGAACTCGCACACCGACCGAGACAGGATCTCTGCTCCCCCTCAGCTGAGGCTGCTGCAGTCTCTCACAAGGTCTAGGATTACATTTATTGACCATGGGAGTAAGAAAGATAAATATAACTTTTGCTCTCTCACTTGCATGGGAGGCATTTACTAGCGCATCTGCTCTTCTGCCTAGCAATGTCCTCAAGGATTTTTAAGTACTGGGAAATTCTGTTGAAATGAACATCTACTTCAGCCACAGATGTGGAAGACCTTGTTGGTGGCAGGTCAACTGAAAAAGAACAGGTCTCAAAGTCATCGTTGAATTCTTACTCGAAGTTCTCTCTTGCTTCTTCCTAATACAAGTGACCGAGACAGTATCAAGTAACTACTAAGGAGCAAGATAAAATAGTTATTCACTGTGAATTACCACTATCTTAGAGGGATTTATTTCAACAAACATAACCACATGTGATGAAAATAAGTGAAAAGTAAATGCTTCATTTTGCCTTGCCTAGTTCCAGTAATGCCCAAATCAGTTTTGGAAATCCTGAAAGCCAGTTTTGAAAGTGTGTTTTGTTTTAAATAAACCAAAGATTTCTGCTATGGAAAAAAAATAATGTATACGTTTTTATGTTACGTTTATAACAAGGCTTTTAAAGAAAATAGTTACAGGTTTTCAACTGCATCAGACTTCAAAAGAAAAAAGATTACACATACAATACAAAAATACAAAAAAATATTTTTTAGAACTTACAAACTCAAAAGTCTAAGTGGTCAGAGCTTTTCTAAAAAAACCCAACAAAACAAAAGAAACACTTCAAGATGCACTTTCCTTTCTGCACTCGCAGGTTCAAATTTAGCATGAAGAAAGGTTTTAGAGGCAGGATGTATGCAATTCACATATTGAATTCTACAACCAGTTCCAGGCTGAAATTAATTTAGTGGTCGACACTATCAGGTATTTGAGTTTAAAAAGAAGCTTATGTTTGGGTGGGTGAGGATGGTGGTGTTGCTGCTAATAATTTTTTGTTCAACCAGTTCTGCTAGTAAAATGTGTCAAAAATACGCAATACGAATTACACTGAAATGTAGACAGTCATTACTAGGTTTGATATCCTACAGCACTGTTCTGCAGTATGAAAGCTAGGAAATTAAACTGACCGGACTCATGTCATTGTTGAAAATTACTGCAGAAGGCAGGCAGGTAGGACAAGGTCAAGTCTTCTTTCTGAAGCTGACACTCATTAGAAGCGTTGGGACTGCAAATACAGGATTCTTCTTTAACCTGATAGTGTCCACTGAGGTCACAGGCATCAAGGCATTTTGTTGTAAATGGCAAGACAGGGAAAGTGCATCTTAGATTTTTCATACTTAAGCAGTGAGTTACCGATTTTTGGTGTGGCTTTTATTCCTTCTAGGCATAGTAAAGAAAAATATTTCAACCAAATGTGAAGCTTAATGTACAACAGCTTGTCTTTTTGGTGGTGGCTTTTGTGTACCACAAGAAAATGCTAACAAGCACTACTCAAGGCTAATGGTTTAAGAGGAGCACACTGAAAATACTGATTTACCTTTGTAGTGAATATTCTTTACAAACTGTATCTAATATACAGACAAGGCCCGTTTCCTTAGGATGAAACGGGCCACAGAAGGTTACACATCCTACATGAAGTTTTAAACAAAATTAGAGCTAAGTTACCAGAGCCACTTAGAGCGACATAATTCCTAGTTTGCAGAGACTTAACAAAAGGTGACTGCAGGGAGGAAAAAAAAAAATAATCCAGGTTCTTATTATTTCCTGCATAACTTTATATTCAACTTAATAGTCCAGTAACACTTCTAGCACAAGACAATGCTCACTTTCTTTAGCAGTATTCCTAGGAGTCAACTGTTTCTCCTGTTATGAAGAGGGAGCCAGAAGTGTGAATGCAAGAGCATTCAATGTTAACCTGATTAAAGAGACAGTAACCTTTTTCATCCACCTTAATTAATCACTGACCAAAAAAAAAAAAAAAAAAAATCTTAAAAAAGGTACCACTCCAATTTCTTTATTTTCTGTAACCTTTTGAAACTAATCACATGGAACTACAAAATTAGCAAATGCCTTGAAATCTGTATACAAAACATAAATTACCTCTAATTTCAAACTCAGTTATTAGTGTACCACTCAAAATCTTAAAAAAGTGGCTCCAAAGATAGTCTTATACCATTCTTAAAAAAGGAAACTGTTCCTTTAACGTTTCACCCTCCCCTCCCCCCAAACACCCAACTCGCAATCCACATCATTTAGTTATTTTCTTGGTCATGGACATTTCCAAGATGAGATTTTATATTTCGTTCCCATAGCTTCTGGTTGTCAGAAAAACCATGCTTTCCTTTATTGAAGGAATTTGGTCCTGCTGAGGTTGGTGTATCCCTGTGAAAAGTAAAACAAGATCAGTTGAGAAAGTCAGTTCAACTATAGCAGTTTGTGCAACATGACACTGAAAACACCAATTTAGGTCCAACCTGCCACCAGAAACTACCATGCATTTTTTTTCTTTCCGCTACATCAGAGGTCCTCACTATTAGCAACTGTAAGTTGGCCACAGAACTGATCTCTCCATAGCACCTCAAGACAGAGCAGTGAGATGGGCCAGCAGAGGAGGAAGTGGCAGTGCCAGCTGTGAAGAATTTGTTGCAAGGGCTACAAAATTGAGGATCCAAATTTGCTACTGGAGAAAAAACTGCACTGAACAGTAGGGAGCCTCCAGGGCACTGACTTTAAAAGCAGTCTATCGTGAAGAACATCTTTAAAACATATATGCTCAAAATTCATCCCTTACTTAAGTGAAGCCTCCTCTGAAAGTGTGCCTATTCATTTTAGGATTGGCCCAATACTCAAATTTGTGTCAAGCAGAACAATTATATGCATTTGTTTTAAAAGTAAACAAGCTATTCTTTGTCTCTCTTGACGGTGATGATTCATCTTCCCCTTGCACGGGAGTTTAAAAGCAGACCACCTTACTTCAGGGTAATTTATCAAACGGAGAACTAGAAAGACAGAAAGTTTAGCAGCAAGCAGGAACTCCCACCTATTACCCTTCCAAGAAGAAAGCTAGCTTCTATTTAATATAGAATCAATTTCTTCCTCAAAAAGAAGGCAGCAAAAAAGATTCAAAGTGCAAAAGCAACTGTACTATTTTTAACATACAGCTGAAACATTAGAAAATATCTATATTAAAATTTCTTGTTTCAGGAGAAAATTTTTTTCAACCTATTCTATCTTCCCATATTTCTAAACCATCTGCAAGATCTGACCTGTGCTCAAGAAGGTATTTTCACATGCTCACCCTCCTCCAAATCATAGTTAAAAGCTGACCTACCTTCCAATGTTCTTCATGCGCATCTTGGCTTCTGGGGGCATTTCTTCTGGTTCACTCTATGGGGAGAAAGGAGGTTAGAGTGTGGCCGGCCGCTCTCTTTTGAACATTTCAAACGCCTGACAATATATAGTATGGACTACAGCCCTACAGGAAAGCGAAGTAACTTAGGACAAAACAGAGGTTCTACAAGGTTATAGAAAGAAATACAAATTCCTTTTTTCACCTGTGTAACATGCAGCAGTAACACAACAATCAAATATTCAGCAAACCAGAAGCAGCACAACTTTTCTTCACCTCCCCTTTATCAACTCCAGAGAAAGCAACCATTAATTCAAATTACATTGTGCATCTCATTTTCAGGAAAAAAGTTATCAGCACTTTAATGATTTCTTGAAACAACACAGAGCTACAAAGTTGCACATTCTTAAACAGAAACAAGAGACATTTCTAGATTGCAAATCCCTGACATTTATGTGAAGAACTTTAAATGACCCACTCTCTCTGCCTAACTCTTAACCCACAATGGTACTTTAAGTTGTGTTGATGACTAGCTTGTTACTCACATCTTCATCTTCATTGAAAGCCGCTGCTACAGAAAGGGTTTTTGGAGCAAGGGTTGGAACAGGCTCTTTAGGCTTCTGAAAAAGACCAAATGCACAAGTAAAGTCAGTCTACTAACTCAAAAATGCTACCATTGCTATTTTAAGTATTTTGGTAAAATGAAGTCAAACTTCATCACTGAAACGGGATAGGAGGGGTAAAAGCGGTTTTGTTTGAATCAAGCAGATAAAGACTTCTCTCTAATGAAAAAGGAAAATGGCTGCTCTTTTGCCTGAGATACAGCCTGAAAAGCAAGCCGAGACCTCTCATGTTACAAGTCCCCACAAGGAGGTCTTAACTTTCTAGCCCCCTGCAGGGGTACGCAGCCACTGGTGCATGACATGAACAATTAAATAAGAACCTGAATAAGTCATGGCATTCAAAATTTTACTATGTCACTGTTTCCATTATTCTTTTGGAGTATTCTTGTCTATCAATGCTAGGAAGATGAGTATGTTATTTTCCTTATCTTTAAACAACATAAAAACTTTCTGGCTTAAAACAATTCAATACTTTTTAACCAGCATCAGTGTGTATCACACAGTCCGACTTATGTAAGGCTCCTTTAAAAAGTATTGTTTTGATCTCCAATCAATACCTTCTTCTATTTAAAGTGTAAAAAGCTACCAAACTCACAATTGTTACATGCAATACAGCAGAGACATTGAAAGTAACTGCGAGACCACTGAGAAAGAGTTGAGTCATCAGTAACAGTTTGCTTCTACAGTACTACCAATTATCTAAATCAGTCATATACAGAGCTTCCTTCATTTTGACTTTATTGGCGATTATTTTATATTCTCTCATAGTTTCGAAGCTGATACTGCAGCAGAGTCCTTACAGGACTGTCTACAGTTATTCCTCACCAATAGTATAACATATAAATATTGTGCAGCATAACATATAAATATTGTGCCATTTTTTTTAACAAGTCAGCTCCATAGGAATGGGTAACATACTAAGGGAGTAAAAATTACTAAAAAGAAACAGGGTAAGTTTCAGCACTGTCCAATCTGGTGCACTGTCAGTCACCCACTAGATTCAGTGAGCCACAATCCCAAGCCAAATTTATTGCCACTGAAATTATCTTTCTACATGAGAAACTAGAGCTTGCTAGTGGGTCAGAGAAGGCAGCTTCGTCAATTTTTCCAAAGTCCAAGATGACCTGATTGCATTTATACCCTAGAAGGCTGCCAGCCCACATGTCCCTCCCATCTCAAAATAACAGAGCACTTTTCATCTTTTGCAGATCTGTTAAATGCTGGCATTGCAGGTGCAAGCCTTTCATGATTACAGTTTGAATTTAATCCAGAAAAGGATTTATAATGTACGCACCACAGTGGTACATGGGAAGTGTAAATGAACTGTATTAAACAGAGGCACAGGATCCGTCTTGTCCTTGCCCAAGCTAGTAGAGGACTACTTTGGTAGCAAAGAGAAGCATCAGATTCACTTCTGAACAAGCACAAGGATACCTTGTACTGGGATAATAAAGGGGATCAGAATTCTTAGGAACCTATGTAACAAAGTATATAGTATAAATTAATCATACTGACCTTGCAAAGAACAGGCAAAGCCACTGAAAAATAAACTATAGTTCCCCATACTAAAATAAGATATTCGCAGTGGAAGACGACCTACTAAACCATCTAGGAGTGTATGTGCTTTCTTGTAGCTTTAAGCATTCTATGCAATAAAGCTCCCAGCGCTCATTTCAAAGTAGCCTGAACAGTTTAACAAGTCTGCTCATTTCCCTCAGGAAATTATTCCAGACTTATCAAATCTCATTACAAAATTATTCTGTACATTCAAAGATTTACAGCTCATTTCAATCAAGTCTTATGCTTCCTGAAACAACTGACCTAGTATTAATCACCTTGAAGTACTTACACATGCATGACTATCTGGCCCTGCAATGCTTTCTTAAACTTTATCCAAGTTACCCACATTTAATTCAAGGCTTTCCTTCTGCATGGAAGCCTCCCCAAAGTTCTTCCCCTTTGCCTTACTTTCCTTAAAATTAAGAGTCCTCAGACAACTTACGTTTGCTCCTAGTTTGATGGATATTGCAGACGCCTTCTTTGCTGTCTGACTGCCTATGGAAAATCCAAACTTGGACATTTTGGCAGGAGCAGGCTTTGTAGTGAAGTCTTCAGCTTCTTCATTAGCTGCCCGTTTCTCTGCGCTGCGACTCGAACTTTCTCCTCCATTACTGGAAGAAACAGTCTTAGTTTTCACAGGTTTTTCTGCCTCTTCTTCAGGTCCTGGTGAAGTCGAAACAACTTACCAAGATGAGCTATTTTTACTGAGCAGATTGATGGGAGCAGCAACCTCAAAAAGCATTATAATTTGGATGCAATAGGTAAGGTGTTTTTAGTGATAGCAGTTTCCAATGTACATTTAGTGGACAGCAAAACACAAAGAGGAGAAGAAACTGCAAGCACTCCACTACTTGTAAAGAACTTCTTGTGTATGAGCCAGGAAAACAATCTTGAAGCACCATCTCTTTATTCAGTATGGAAGTCAAAGTTCATGTAGTAAATTAAAAGTAGATCACTAAATCTTTTTAGGGTTTAAGTTGCTATAGATAAGCTTTCATAACTGGAATCCCAATTCCAAATCTAGAGTAGATAATCTAAGTTAAAATTAATTCTACCGAATTTCTACAAAAACATGTCCATGCCAGTCTCTAGGCTTGTCTGGCACAACTCTAAAATCATGGAAGTGACTACAGTGAGGCCGGCTGTCTCAATCATGTTTCAAGTCACTGCTTGTCCGCATCTCATCTTAATAAATCTGCCAAGCTCTGCTTGAGGAAGAAATCAGCACTAGAAAAACATATATATATATATATATGTATATATATTTCATCTTTTCTGGTTTTGTATAAAGTCATGGAAAACATAGCAGCTGAACAATAACCCACAGAGAAAAGACACTCAAATCACATTTTCATTCCTATACCTTTGGCTTCTCCAGCTACACCAAGAGGCTAACGTGTCCTTGGAAAACTCATACTGAACACAGTAAATGCTTCAGCAAGAGTACATTTCTCTGCTGCTGCAATAAGCAAATCACTGCAGTAGCAGAAGAAAAAAAAAAAAAAAAACACGCATTGGGGAACGGACAGGAAAGTGCTTATACTATCAGTTTAAGAAAAACTGGACCTAGCACCAGTTCCTTGTTATATCAAGTGGAGAACAGGACCCTTCATGCACAGCAAATTCAGCCCATCAGCTCTTTGCACCAATCTCTAACAGCAAAAAGCTATTAAGTAAGATAGAGCAATGGAGGAGAAGCTAGTCTGAACTGGGGGTCAACAAGATTGTAGCTCTGAGAAAAAAAGGAAGCAAAGAACATCAGAAGAAAGAAAAACTGGGGACATCATCCATACATATTTTTCTGCTATTTCCCAAATCATAAGCAGCAGAATATACCCTTTCTACCCCACTCTTCTAGCTATCAAGATAATAAGCGATAGGAACAAAAATGGATTTATTATTCACCTTTGGAAACATGGCAAATCACAAAAGAAAATATTAATACCTTTAATCAATTTCACGCTATTAAAAAATTGTACTAATCTGCACCACTAGAAATGTGACCCAAAAAGTACAGATATAAAAGTGACAAACAAAGGAAGAAAGAGAAACAAGCAAAATTCAAACATGTGACCTTGGGCGCTGGTTGCTGTCTTAGCACAGTTTTCCAAGCAGCAGTCTGCAAGGCTACGAGCAGCTCTTTACAGCTAGTCCATGAAATCACATTATACAGAATATTCAATCACAAGTCCAATATAGGCACACATTAGACTGTAAGGTGATTTGAGGGTAGGTAGAGGATTCATTAGTCTTAAAGTGTTAGCACAATGGGCCTAGAAGTCTTCTTTTTGATAAAATACAAAATCCACAGCAGCCCAAATCTCAGGGCACACTGGACCAGTCCAGGTTCCTAAGCTAATACTAGCTTGAACATAATTACACTACAGCTTGCTTCTTTGATTGCAAATTCTAGAATATTGCTAAGCACAAGATGAAGCCTTACACAATCTACCCACATCTGTTTTCTCACCACAATATTAAATGGGAGCTGGATTTGAGAGAGACACTATCACCAGGCATTCTGAATGTTGCTTCTACTAGGCTCCACTTAGGACAACCTGCAGACTGCTGAAAGAAATACTCTTACTTGCTGATGGAGCTATAAAGGGTGTAAGACACGTGGGGTAGGTGGGGAGGGAGTTGTTGTGCTGTTTTATTTCTGCAGGAAACAGTTAGAAATGCAGACGTATATTATCCATTAAATAGGTATCTCTGATCTCCCATGCCAATGCTTATACATTTTTCAAGATATCAATGCTTCTTTATTATTTCCTAGAGATCTCAAGGAGGTCACACTTCACCTCTTCACCAAGAGAAGCACCATTACTATTTTGAAAACTAGTCTGACCAGTGCTCTTTTCATGGATCACAGTAATAAAAAGCTGTTCTATTTCACAGAAAATTTTTCTCATGAGTATCAACAAGCTATGTAAGTCAACAGCTTCCACTATCTAAATGGTTTAAGTGACAAGACTAACAGAGCTAACTGCGCAGCATTTCAGGATCTCTTGCCGCTGGGAGTGAGACCACTGGTGATGATGGGAACAAACCAGTCACAACTAAGTTAACTTTAAGGTAAACTTCACTGATCTTGGCAAAAGCTAAGATTAAATTGCTTTTCAAAAATCATCAGGGAGTAAATATTCTTCCTTAAGGCTAGTGTACCATAACTTATTAAGATCATGTTTCAGCACACCAAACAGTGCACAAGACAGTACGGATAACTGACGTACTGATGCCATCCAGTTACTCTAACACTAATACAACACAAAAAAAACAAAAAACAAAAAAAAACCACAAAAACCTACAACCAAAGCCAAAAACCAGCCCCTCCAAAAAAAAACAAAAAATCCCATCAGAGAACCAAGAGTCAAGGAACTACCTAAAATCAGGTATTACTGTTCCTATTTTAGTGATTATCAGAAATAACATTCACTGTTGGAACTATCCTAAATGATATACAAGCTTGATTTAACCTTTCAACAGATCAAAGAAATGCCCTCTGCTTATATACTTAAACCAAAAAAAAAAAACAAAACAAAACAAAAACAAAAACAAAAAGAGTAAAGGGAAGCTTTATCTTTGCAAAGACACTATGTTCTCAATTTTAAGTTGGGGAAGAAAGAAGGAAAGAAACACACAATTAGAAATTTTAGGAGAACTGATAATTAGTACAGAAGATGACAAGAATGTCCCAGTCGTAATATAAAAACACACTGAAAGCTTGCAGATCGCTGCCAAGCAGAAACCCCAGAATGCTTAAAACAGCAGAAAAGGAATATTCACTTGAAAAAGTACCACAGCTGCTAAAAGCTAATCTTTAAGGCGTTTCCTTCATCCTTGCCAGCAGCAAGTAAAATTTCTCTCAACACACGGCAGAACTGTTCCGTATATATTTTTAGAGAGAGAGAAATAACGCATTAACGCTGACAAGGAGAAGCTGTTAGATTTTAAGGCCGATGCTAACCCTCAGGCGTGAGGACAGCGGGCCCAGACCGCGGCCTCTCCTCCAGCGCAGCCCCCGCAGGGCCGGGCCGGGCCGCCCCCTCTCCCCGCAGGGCCGGGCACCGCACGGCCCGGCCCGGCTCAGGCCTGCCCGGCTGGGAGCGGCAACCCTGGACACCCACTTCCCCCAACCACCCGTGGGGGACCGGCGCTGGGCCCCCTGCCCACCCCGCAGCTACGCGGCGAGAGGCGCTACATGTTCACCTCCTCCGGGCTGCGGCCGCTTC